TCAGCCGCTCCCTCCGTTCCACCCTCCCCGTGCGCGTGGTCCACGGTGGGCGGTGAGGCTGCGCGTGGGCCCGCCGCACCCGCGAGCCTCGCGCGTGCACCGCGCCCGCCCAAACCCTAGCGCCGCGTCGCGTGCTCCTCGCTCACGGTGAGCCGAGCCGCCGACAAGCGGGTCCCACTCGGGACCACGCGAGATGGACCCGGCCCACCGGCTCCCTCTCTCCTCCCCTCCCGCGCGTGCCTTGGGCCGCCTTCTCGGGCCGGCCGGCCCATTAAGCTCGGCCGAGCCGCCCCTTTTTCTCTCGGGCCACGCCCTAGCCGCCCGAGGAAAGTCTATTTCCCCTTCCTTTTTCTTTTCTTTTTCAAAAGGGTTTAATTAAATCCTTTTTCCTTTAGATCAAAAATCCAATAATCTTAGAAATTCAATATCTACCCAACCGTAAGTCCGTTTGACTCCGTTCAACTTCCAAAATTCCTCAAATCTCGAGATCTATCTAATGGCACGCTTAGAGGTCAATAATAGGGCTTTATTTTCGCCGTTTGTTGAGTTGTCCCGTTTCGCGTGTAGTTTCGGAGCCCGAAGACCCGCAGTGCGAGGATTTCGAGGATCAAGCTCAAGATCTCGAGCAAGGCAAGTCACCTTTCATCATCTTGCACCTATAATTTAAATCTAAGTATTTCTTTTCCGCAAATATTGCATGAATAGGATTTACACAAGTAATTCGGCCGCGGCATACGAGATAGCCTGCCGGCCCCCAATCCTAATTGCTGCAATTACCCTCCTTGAATTATTGAACACTTAAACCTCCTTTGTCAACTGTTGTGCTTCGATGCACGGGCCTTCGGGTACGCGCATCAGAACACCCCCCCCTTCAAAATATAAAATATCCAACGATGGGTAAAACTTGGGTTTTACAAAAGACTTGGAAAACCCGACACCTGGGTCGGTGCTTGCGAACTAAATGAATTTCCAAAATCGCGGACCGGGGAACGTACCGGGAGTACGGTTTCCCGCTCTTGCACTTAAGGACCGTTTCCTTGGAATTTCATCCGAACATAAGACAAGTGTGACCACATGGGTGGAATGGGACACCCCTGGCTGAATAACTAGCTAATCGGGGGAGCCATGATGCCAAGAGACATGTGGATTCAACGGGGTGGTGTCGGGGAGAACCCCCGGGTTTCCTGGCACAGTATGGTCTGGGACCTAATCTGGTGTTGGTCTGGGACCCCTCTCGTTGGCATATGGTACGGTGAACCTGTGTCGGCTTTCGAAATGTCTTGTCATGAAAGCCTTAAGGTCTCTAGACGTGGCCGTTCTGCACGGGCTGGATGATCCGGGTTAGTAATGTCGTGTGGGTAAAGTGTACCCCCTCTGCAGAGGTTATTAATCTGTTCGAACAGCCGTGCCCACGGTCATGGGCGGATGTGAGGTGATTCCTAGCGTAGTTTTGTTTGACTACTGCTTTGTGAAATTGCTGTTGTGGAATGGGTTCGATGTTTGAAAAATCTGCGGCTGATGGGATCAGTCAGGCCCGGGTGGCCGTTTGAAAGTTGTTGGCCGGATGCCAATCTTGAATCAATTCAAAGACTGATACATTGCACATACTCCGACCGGACGAGACGCACTGTCTCATCCGTGTCGTTTGAGAAGCACTCACTTAGTTGTTTCAAAAAGGAGTTTAAATAAAATCAATTGCAAAAACAACAGCCTTTCCTTTGAAGCCTGCATTAAACACTTAATTCCCATGGCTTGCTGAGTACTCCTGTACTCACCCTTGCTCTATATAAATAATCCCCCCCCAGTCGCTGAAGAAGATGATGTGGATCCCGCTGACGAGGAGTTCTTCCAGGAGCAAGTCGGTTACGATGAGTTTTAGGGTTTCGGCCTAGTTCCCAAGTCACGCTTGTGATGATTGGTCCAAGTCTTGGCTTCCGCTTTCCCTATTATAATGTAGTTATGAGCTCGGGATCTGTCCGCAGCCCAACATGACTGTACTCCTACTCTATAATAAAGAGACCTCTGCTGCTATGATATACTGTCTTCCTGTGATACCAGCATTGTTTCTTGGGACTGGTATTGATTAACAGGTTAATTTGGAGCGTCACGGGCTAGTTCCGCTCGGGGCTAGTTCGGGGCGTGACAATCTCCAAGAACACTGATTCTATATAGTATATAATTATACATATGGTACGTTTTAAACATAGTGCATGTACAATAATTATTAATAGAAGGCTCTTAGATTTTCTAATTAGTATCATCTGCTAATACATGGAAGAGAGAGAAGATGGGGGTTCACTTATTCAAAGTGGAGGTTCACTTATATGACTAACCAACAATTTAAGCCAGCGACACGTTCCAACAAATCGACGAGATAATTCAATTGACAATTTTTAAATAATGAATAGAAATCCGGTCTCTATATGTATAAATTGATATACACATCTAAAATGTTTATGTATACTTAACAACAAAGACAAAGAAAAACAAACTAGAAAGCTAAGCTTCGGCCCTTATGTTGCATGATAAGCCCTGCCACACTAAAACCGCACTGAGTCGATCTTGATACGCTGTCCCACGCATCCGCTTTCTATCCACCTATGACTATCTCTTTTGCCACCCTGCCTTTCCCTTCAACCGGATCCTCTCGACCTAAATTCGGCAGCTCTCTATCCCTAGTGTCTCGCTCGCCGATGCCATTCGTTGTGGGTAAAGATAATTCAAATGGCATAGATACTGTAAAAGTTCAATGAGTTTTCTGCAACGGGCCTTTAATTTGTTTCAGTTCAATTTTGCATACACTTGTGTATAAATATGGGTAAATAATGGGTACTTTGCTAAAATTTTAGGGGCACATATTTACCCGTGAATCACACTAGCTCCGCCACTCGGCCACTGACATTATTGTTATGGTAACAATGGCTCAACAAAGGCTTAAATGGAAGTTCTGCTGTATTTTAGGATGGGGTGGGGATGGGGCATGGAAGGGGTAATGAAAAATATTTTTGGGATTAATAATGGTTAAAGTATTTATTTTCTTAACTATTATAATAGCAAGCATAGTCTCTAAAAATAAATATATATTGTCTAAGATTGACTCTGTTGTTGAACATGCCCTAAGGCTTACAGAGCCGGTTAAGCCAACACAGCTGTAAATTCGACAGTGTAGTAGAACACATTTTACTAAACCATAGGTTGCTCAACAGCTGTCCTCTTAACAAAATCCGTTATCTCTATTACTACAGGGAATATGCACAACAGCACAAGCATCCGTTGCTGCGATCCCGCAGCATACACTAATGACTAATCCACGAATATGTCGGCCCATTGAACACGCGCATCGACATATATTTATAGGAAATTTTGATGTTGATACCGTAAACTTCTAAAAGCATCTAATTCGTATATTACTCTTATGAGAAAATTCCTTACGTGCACATAAAAATTTGCTCAATTCCCTTATATATGTTCCTAAATTTTACCTCATTTGTTATATCTCTAATATTATAAAAATTGAAGATGTTTTTGTCGGTACGTTTGGTACGTCATTCGTGTTTGAATTGGTTTTTAAGTTCAATCGCTTTTGCAAATACAGATACATGTTTGAATCGGTTTTTAATTTTGTTTATTTTTAAAAATACAGAAGGAGTCGTATAAGAAATCTCTTTAAAAAACTTCATGCTAACTTGAGACGATCGGACCCCTAATTGCAGCTCATAATTTTGTAAAAAGAATATCAAGCGAATTCCCACAGTGAATTTCACCGTAGCTAAACCGTATAACAATAATAAGATTAAAATAGCCTTCACTCGTTGCAACGCATGGGCATTTTTCTAGTTTCTCTAAAATTTTATTTTGCTCCCTGTATACTTGTTCGGTTAGTTGAACGTGCGTTGGCTATTAATTTTTCAAAGTGACTATATTATTCCTCTCTCATATATATTTATTGTGCTACATCAGTGATAAAAACTCAATCCTCAAGTAAAAAAGAACATTTATTTCTAAAAAAAAAGGGTCTAAATTATTTGACCACAAATTGAAATGAATAAAATTGAAACTTTTAAATAAATTTTAAATTAATTTTGACGAAATTTGAATAAATTTTCACAAATATTTAAAACCAAATAATAAATAAATTTGGTTCTCAATTGCTAGCCGAAACCCTTATACTAATTTAATTAAATATTCAAATTGATAAAATTCATTTATCATTTTTTGTTGAAATAATCATATCCATTTGATTTTATTGTAAATTGAGGAGTAAATTTCATTAAACTATATATACTTTAATCTATCTATCACAAAACTACACTTACGTCATCACTTCGTGTGAAAGGATTAACCCGGGAGTGATATGGTTAGAAGGAAGAGGCCTTATAAGTTGGTTCTACTCATGGTAAACTAGCAAGGTAGTACTAAACATGCGCACACAGCTCACATAGGCCACACAAGCCTTTTCCTAATTGGACCATGATGTCACAAGTGCTATGGATATAAACTCTAAAATCTGTAGTTTTTTGATAACTTCATTACTAAATCTGTAGTTTTATGATACAATGATTTAAATATGTAGTTTTGTGATAAATTTCGCTCTAGATTTGTAGTTTTATGATATACATTCTTAAATTTGTAGTTTTGTGATAGTTTGGTCAAAGTATCTATGGTTTTATGAAATTTTCTCTAAATTAAAATTTTTGACATGAGATTTATGAAGTATGTAACACAAAAGTATAAGAAAGGAGGGACATGTAGTCATTTTTAGAAAATAAATTTATCGATTAACTTACAGTTAAAACTAACGAAATAGGCATGGAGATTACGTAGAAAATAAGACAAAATTCAGACGCATAAAAGGATTAAGAAAGTTCGATGTGTGGTGTGTGTTGTAGCGCCGCCGGGATTGTAGGAAATTTTCTATACATGCTCCATTGCTCCTATATATAATGCAAGGTAGGACGCTCACAAAGGAGCATTCATACGTAGCACACATACAACTTGCTCTCAAGAGTAAAGCCCTCTAATAATTTCTCTACACACTCTCCAGTGCCATGCAACTCCACATCCTCCTCCTCCTCCTTGCTGTCACAGTACTCCTCTCGTCGCCGACATGGGCGGCGGCCGGCGGTGAAGATCAGGCGGTGGCCTCGCAGGAGGTGAACCCGCTGCACTACAACTGCAGCCTGTCCGGCGGCAAGTACGAGCCGAACAGCACGTACGAGGCCAACCTCAGGGCGCTGGCCTCGCTGCTCCTCGCGGAGGCGAGGGCCACCGCCTTCGCCTCCGACAGCTTCGGCGCCGCGCCAGACGCGGTCTACGGCATCGCGCTCTGCCGCGGCGACTACGCCGGCGACGCCTGCGCCGGCGGCCTCCGCAAGGCGTTCAGGGACGCCATCGACCACGGCGTCTTCTGCGCCGGCTTCAGGGACGTGACCGTCTACTACGACGAGCACATGTTCCGGTTCTCCGGCGAGGACTTCCGCGCCAGCCTGACCAACGCGCCGGCGTGGGTCACGTGGAACATGAACGGCGTGGCCGGCGCCGCCGCGTTCGGCGACCGCGTCATGGAGCTGATCAACACCACCGCCGAGTTCGCCGCGTGGAACTCGTCGAAGCGCGGGTACGCGACGGGGGAGGCCGGGTTCGGGGAGCTGGACGTGGGCGCGACCCGCCTCGGGCTGGTTGAGCAGCAGTGCAGAAGCAGCCCCGACCTCGTCATCTTCGCGCTCGTGCAGTGCACGCCGGACCTCTCGCCGGCCGGCTGCCTGAGCTGCCTCTCCGGCATCGCCTCGCAGATGCCGAGGTGGTTCACTGGCGCCGCCGACTACCGCCTCGGCGGCCGGATTCTCGGGGTCCGGTGCAACCTGAGGTACGAGGTCGATCGCTTCTTCCTAGAAAGCAACGAGACGATCAAGATTCATATGCCAAAACAGAAAGGTACGTACGTCCGAAACTAAACGAGAGTGAATTTTAAACTCTCGAGGAGACGTCGTCTCGTTGCTTGTATCACTTTACAAGCATGTAATTTAAAATTTAACTTGCAGAAGTTTTCTGAGAATCTCACTCATGCAAAGTGCAGCACTCAGTTTACCTTTTCAAAATGTTGTGCTCAATTTTCATATATATATATATGTGTGTGTGCAGGGGGCATGAGCAAAACGGATATCGCATTGATCACCATTTCTGGAGTTGTTACTCCTGTTCTTCCTTTGATTCTAATTGGATTCATCGTAAAGAAAATACGAGGTATAAGGTGTACCGTTCTTGCTGGCGTCTGGCGATATTAAAGTTTTTATTCTCTCGATTGACTAATTAAGGAGATGTATTTATCAGGGTTTTTTTTACGCACCACAGGAAAGTTAACATATCATATATATATGTGGCTCAATGTTGTTTTTCTAATGAATGGGATACATATGTATGGTATATATATATTGTTAAGTTGCAACATATGGCATACCAAAATTTATCTTAAATATTAAATCCTAACCTTTTCCTGGTTATATACATGTAAAAGCAGATTGCAAGCTAAGAAGAGAATTAGGTGACTGGGAGAAGACCGTTACCGAAGAAATTGATGAAAGGTTTTCACTTTATCCTTTCTCCATGATAAGAGATGCCACAGAAAATTTCTCAGCAGAAAATAGACTTGGGCATGGATCTTTCGGTCAAGTTTACCGAGTAAGTTGATAATATTACATAACCTCTAATTGAACTTCCTGATATTGCTTAGTTTCCTTTTTTTTTAAAAGTACATAATATCCTTGTACAAGATAAATTTTAATATGTCATGTACAAACTTGTGCTAAAACAATGTCATAAAATATGTCCCCTCCTCGCCCCCTCTATATATGCTTAGTGTCCGTCCCCTCCTCTCTCTCTCTCGCCATCCTCCCTACCTCTCTCTCTCTCTTTCTCGCGCCCTCCCTCCCAATCCGCCATCCACTCTCTCCCACTCCCCCTCTCACACGCGCCCTCCCTCTCAATTCGCACTACTACATGATAGATTTTCCTGGATGCCGCCCCCTTTTGTTTCCATGCGATCCGTAAGTGGAACCGTACGGAAAAATGGAGGACCGGCGCTGGGCCGTCGCCCGCACGGGAAAACGCATTATCCCGTGCAAGCGGCGCTTAAGCCAACCGCACGTGATAATCGTATTATCCCGAGCGGTTGGCTTAAGACGCCCGCCCGCACGGGATAATGCATTTTCCCGTGCGTGCGACATAAGCCGACCGCACGCGAAAATACATCTCCCTCTCACTCACTTCAAAATTTTCACACCTCCTCTCCCTCTCAATCATTTTAAAATTTTCACACCTCGTCTCTCTTCCTTTTTATTTTCACTTTCCTCCCCTCTATCTCTCTCACTTCCTCTCCTCTCCTCTCCCGACTTTCACTCCTCTCCTCTCTTGACTTTCGTTGTCGACGAGGCGAGGCGGCGGCGACCGTGCACGTTGGCGAGCGGCGCGGCGACCGGGCAGCGGCGAGGGGCGACTTCAACCGGCCCCCTCGCGCCCGGATCCGGAGGCGGCGGCCATCCCCTGCACGGATTTGGCAGCGGTGGCGGCCGGCACGACTGTGGACGTGACGGCAACCAGCCTCCGCGCCTGGATCCGGCAGCGGTTGCCGTCCCCCCCCTGGATTCGGCGGCGGCGGGCGGCATCAACGGCGACGTGACTAGGTGGCCGTGGCTGGTTGCGGCGGCGACCGGGCGGCCGTGGCTGGTCGAGGTGACCGGGCGAGGCGGCGACCGGGGCGGCCGGGTGCGTGTGGCGGCGCGACGACGGCGACGACGAGTTGCGGCGGCCGGTTGCGTGCCGGCCGCGGGTGGGCGGCGATTTTCACTTTTTTTTTATTTTTGGTTTTTTTGTTTTCATGCAGGTGGTATTATAATTTGATCGCACGGGATAATCAATTATCCTGTGCGGTCGGCCCGCCCGCACGTGAAAATACTGATTTTCGCATGCGGGCCAAACGACCGTATGGAAAAATGGATATGCCCGCATGGAAAAATGAGTTCTGTAGTAGTGCCGGCACCCTACTATCTCTTCTATTTGGAGATGCAAAAGAGACAAAATAAATTTAAAATATACATTCAATGGGAATTAAACCCAAGACCTTTAATTCAATTCCAACAAATTATTAACCTGTAGACTATGTCTGAACTGTCATAGATATTTCTTAGAAAAATTTTATCTTATAACATGTGCTAATAAATACAGTATTTGGCACAAAATGTAGTACCGACACTATGATAGCTATTACTGCACACTCTAAACTGTCTTAATTACTGCATTATAGCAAATCTTTTATCACACGGCTACAGTGTAACATCAGCATGAATATATTACTATAGTAACATGAGACACACCACATATATCTATTACTTCCTTTATTCTAAAATATAAAATATAAGACACAACCACCCTTAACCCAAAGACCAAGAAACAATTATTATCATCTTGTAGTTTAGATCATCCACATAAATATAATGCATGCATCCAATAAGATTAGATAATATGAGAGTGGAGGATTTAAAAAAGTTATAATTTAATGAAGAAGATGCCACAGTTAATTGCATGCTTGTATGCATGCCATATATTATGGAACATCTAAAAAAGTGGTTGTACTTTATATTATAGAATGGAGGCAGCATGATCTATACCTTTTTTGAATGACATATATTATGAACTTGTTATTATAGTAACATGATATATATTACTATAGTAACATGAGATCTACAGTAACATCAAAATGACATATATTATGAACTTGTTATGAACTACATAAATAACAAATCAACTGTGCAAATAAGCATATGATAATTTACAGATGTGCTAGCTTGCGTCTAGTCGTCGACCGGGCAATCCCATCTCCTCTTCAACCCTCAACCATGTAGACATTTTTTTTTTCCTTTGTCTCCTTCCGGTTAACCAATCAAACCCCAGAACAAGAACGAAACGAAGGGAAAGAAGAAAGGAGATTAGATCTTTCTGTTTATTTAATTTGGAACAGAATCAACGTCGTATCTGTAATTTACTTTTTTTTCCTCATGAACGGCGTACTGATCTGCAGAACGATATACTGATAGATGGATGTAGGTATTCAATTCACATATAATACCCATGTTTTACTAGTTAATTACTCCACTGCCATCATGTTACCATAATTTTTTTCGGTACCTTGCCCCTATCTTGATCAACGGTACTCGTTGTTCCACCTCCACGTACCTCTAAATACCTTGCGAACACCGTAAAAGGTCTCTAACATGTAATTTGAGAGATATCATTGTTTAAAAGACTATAATTTTAAAAGTATTACTTGTATTTTAGCTTGCTATTATGTATCTTTGTGTGGGAAAAGAGTACTTTTAGCACTTGTGTCAACTTGTGACCATGCACATGAAGTTTTTAGCACTTGTACTTTGCACAAGATTGAGATTTAAAAATTTAGCTATGCACAAACCCCAGTCAAACCCGCTTGCGCTGTCTCCCCCCACGCCCAGCTTAGTTCAGTTCTCGTCTCACAGGATTGATGTAGTAACATGACAGTCAATGTGAAGTAACTTGACTGCTTTTTACAACAACAACGTGAAAAAATAGTCATGACAGATTTAGTTTCGTTAAGCACTTTTTTACGAACACCATGGTGCAAACGGATTAGAAAAACAAGATATAACATGAGAGATATTGCTCTTTAATCTTTAGATTTACCTTTTTTTCAAGTTCTCGTCACGTAGGAATGGTGTAGTAACTCGATGACTAATGTGTAGTAACATGATTGCTTTCCACCATAATGACGTCAAAAAATAATCATGATGATCTAATTTCGTTAAGAACTTTTTTACGAACGTCATGGTGCATTCGGGTTAGAAAAGCATGATATGATGTGATATGATGTGATAGATATTGCTCTCTAAAGATCGATATTTAAAAGATTTTAGCTCTACACAAGCATTAGTACTATAGCATCACTGTTACTATTACAAGTCTCTGTTTCTACAATTTTTATTATGATGTTACTGCCAAAAGTGCAATAACAACCTACAAATTTTACGGTAACATATAATATTACTGCCGTTCTGTGATAATGTTACTATGAAAACGTAGTAATAAGATATGATTTCTACAGTAACATCCTACAGTAGCATAACTAATTTGTTTTTTTATTGGAATTACTGCTAAGACTTTGTCCAACAGTGTAACATAACTAATTTTTTCTTACAAAAACTTGAACAGAGATACAAAGCAAGCAAGCAACAATCCCTAATCACAGTGTGATAGGATAAATTGGTTAGTAGAGCTTCCTATGAACCATGCATGGGGAGAATTTAGTTTTTGCTATCTTCCCAAAATGTCAGTGCTCAAATACCACTCTCCAAAATTTTTATTCCCAAATACTATTCGAACCCACATGTCAGCCTCACCCATCACCGGATCCCACGTCACTTTTGTTTGAATGGAAAGTGAGGCTGACATGTGGACCCAGGTTGCATTGGCGAATGAACATTTGGGAGAGTAGCATTTATGCACTGTCATTTTGGGTAGATGGCAAAAAGTAAATTCCCCTATGAACCATGAGGTTATAGGTTTAAGTCTTGATTTTGCTATTTTAATTTTTAATTTTCTTTTCAAGGTGAAGCAAAGGAAGGGTAAGAGAATAGACGTCACATCACATGGAGAGAGAATTTGAGGGAGGGGGGAGGAGGGCGCCGGGAAGAGGGGAAAATAGGAGAAAATAAAAGAAAAGAAGGAAGAAAGAAAGATCGATGAGGGGAGGGTGGGATGTAGCGAAAAAAAAAAGAGAGGGAGCAGGAGGAGTGTGTGAGGGGGAGAGGAGAGGTGGATGGGCTTGGTGGGAGGGGGAATGAATAGGTAGTTGGGATGGGCTATGTGGGAGGCTGGACGCGGCGGGGGGGGGGGGGGGGTTGTACCTTAATTGCAGTACACTTGTATATAATACTAAATGGTGTCCTGCGTGTTGCTGCAGGATATATATGTTAGATATTGTAGAAATGGTGAAATAATTTGAATTGAAATATAGTGAAAATGATTTGAAAATAATGATTTAGCATGTGTATGTTTAATTTTAGAATGTTGAGCTTTGTGTGCTTAGAGGATTGATGTGGTATGCTTGCATGTTAGATTTTAAGAATGCTAATAAATATTATGATTGCATGTTGAGCTTTAGATATTTAGTGGGTATTAGCTTTATAGAAAGAAGGGACATATATATTAGATGAAAAAACAGTTATTAGCATGTCGCATTTGAAACAAATATATGAATCATTACAGGGCATATTACAGAACGGCCTTCAGATTGCAGCCAAGAGGCTCGATCAAACTACTTGGCAAGGTCTGGAGGAGTTTTTGAATGAAATTAGGATTATCATACGGCTTCAACACGCCAATCTGGTTAGGCTTCTTGGTTGCTGTGTTAACCGCAAAGAACAAATACTTGTCTATGAATACATGCCTAACAGGAGCTTGGACTATGTATTGTCAGGTAAGCCAATATAATGTGTCGTTAGTAGATAGCACCGATTGAAAATTCGTAGAACATTACTTGATTTTATATATACTCATAGACAACAGTTATCTGTTTCAGATCGTGAAAGAGGAGCATCGCTGAGCTGGTTCATGCGACGGCATATAATCAACGGGATAGCACAAGGACTTGACTACCTTCACAACCATGCTCCAGAAGGACTTATAATTATTCATAGAGACATGAAGCTAAGCAATATTCTTTTGGACAGTGAAAATAATCCCAAAATTTCCGATTTTGGGATTGCAAGGAAATTTTGTTTAAATGGAACAGAACCATACGTGACTCATCCAGTAGGAACACCGTAAGTAGTCAAGAGCCTGTTATATGCAGAGAAGAAACTGGAGTGAAGTCCATTTAACTCACACCCCAATCGACCTTCAGCTATGGAACCTGAAATTTTACACACCCTTCCATTATCAAAACCGGTGAAAATATTTTTGATGTCTAGCTAGTAATTAAATAATCTGTTCTTTACTGATATCTATTTCTAATTGAGTGCCATGTCAACGAAAAAATAAAATGATTTAACTTGAATATTAAACTTAGCAATACTAGATTGGATTACCCGTGAAGGGGATATTTTAACCAGTTTTGATATGTATAGTTGATGGGTGTAATTATCAGTAATACTATCAGAATTTTGAATTTTCATAGCGACCAATTAATTTTTTTTTTGCCAAAATAAAACCTCCAAAATGTACCGGTGATTTTGATGTTTTCCTTGATGGTTCGTGCCTGTCAAGAAATATCTATTTCCTTTTAGTGGTTTCATGGTTGAGAGTGGATTTATAAATTTATATGATAGTCGAAGGGGTAGCTAGACTTTACTCTAAAAACTAATTAAGTCAAACTGAAGATTCGATATATATGATCAATATGAATCTCATATTGGGTGGGAAGCTAAATATTACATTTTTTCCTTATGTTTTGGATTAACAGAGACTTACCAACCCAACCCCACCCCACCCCAACCAAAACACGGGCGTACACTGCGCACTCACACAAAATTAAATGAACAATCTCTACTTTATATCTATATCCATAAATTATATTGTAATGAGCAATGTTTGAACAGATTTCGCTAACATATCAAGCACTAATTTATTTATATATTGACATGATTATACTTGCTGTTGTCTAGTGGTTACATGGCGCCTGAGTATATACATGGGGATTTGACCCCAAAATACGATGTTTTCAGCTTCGGTGTTTTGGTTCTTGAGATCATAAGTGGCAGGAGGGTTCGTTCTCCAATATTTAACCAACATGGCAGATCGATTCATCTACTTACTTATGTAAGTGAAGTTCTTCCTCTAGTTAACATTACATTTGGAGCGCATGAATTTTACGTTAACTATTTTAATTCTCACAAACTTCAATTCCTTTAAAATTTCTTCACTCCAAAGGAGGATTAATAAGTGTAATGCCTAGGGTACTAACTTTTTGTTGTGCTCTAATAGGCCTGGAATATTTGGTCAAATAGGAGATACAATGAGCTTTTGGACCCCTATTTGAGGGTGGAGTTTCAAGAGGAGCTAACCAGGCAAATTCAGATTGCTCTGCTATGCGTTCAGAAAAATCCGGGCGATAGACCAGATATGCACGAGGTTACGATGTGGCTGAGCAACAACGGTCTGGGACTAAGTGAACCGCAGGAACCGGCTTACCTCAATGTTCCGCTTGGGTATAATGACGACTTTGTCACTGCACGTCCCGACCTGGAAGCTGGCATAATAGAGCTGCAGTAGCTAAATGCGTGGGGTTGATGAAGACTCTTATGAAGTACTCCACACTGCATATATGTGTGCTTAATTAGCTTGTTGTGGTATATTTAATTTGTCTCGCATACTTGTGCAGTTCTGCAGTATGCTTCGTCCAATGATAGCTTTTGGCATTGCTATGTACTTGGTAGGTCTAGGAACTATATATCCTTCCTACTAATATTAGTGGTTGTTAAATTTCCCTACCTTTGATTACTTTGGTTTTGATTAAGGTGAACCATAATTTGCATGTTTTTTTAGGGTGATTTACATGCTTTTTGTTCAATTCACAAACCTTCGTTTGCCAATTTTCTCTAGTGATTTTTTTTCTGATTTCAAATACAAGGTATATTCTAGGTCTATACTCACAAATTAAGAAAATTGTTAGGATACGCGTAGGCTACGATAGCATAAATCAAATTTTTTCTACCACGTAAACCAGCAACCATGCAAGTATTAGATCATAGATCGTTACCACTCGACACGCTGCGCAGCGGAAGAAGGCGCTAAGTCGAAGGAACTCTCGCGAAGTAGCGCGCGTCGATGTAGAGGAAGTAGTCGATCGCACCGGCTCGACCTTCTCCTCCTCGTGCGTTCTCCTCGCCGTACTCCCACGCCGATCAGCACCGCAAACCAGCGGCGCCTCTACCGGTATCCACACGTACAAGGACGGAACGCCACCCGCAGATGTGCTAGCACCCGCGCGCGGCTATGGTTTTGCTCGAGGAGGAGAGTGATGGCTAGGGTTTCTTACGTGATGCAATACCTCCGCTGGTCACACCCCTCACGAATATATAGAATCCATCACTCGGGCCTCCAAGGCCCGTAGGACTCCTACTCGGATCCCTATCCGAATTAAGCTCATATTGGATCTCTATCCAATCCCCTTATTCCGGTCCATTAAGCGTGCGACTCTGTAGGTTCATATACACTCGGCTGTAACCCGAAAACTCCTTTTTGGTCCACGTGTCAACAGCGGCCCCTAGCAGAACGTATTGACCCACCGGGCATATATAAAGAACATATCGACTGAACCTCTAGTGTATACTTGTATGAACCCCTTTGCCTCACGATATCGATTAAGCTCGAGGCTAGATATGTGCCATCCTCTAATAGCTCAATCATTCACTCGAACCTGTGATAGATTATATAACTTGTGATTGACTCCTCAATCACCTTTGGCATGGCCATGCACTTGCATAATCTATGATATCGAGGGGCCCAGAGATATCTCTCCATAGAAGGGGCAAATCCCATCTTGATTATTCATATCCCACAACATGTTTCACGGCATACCCGAAAACTACTTTTATAACTACCCAATTACATAGTAGCGTTTAGCAGTCCCTAAGTAAGCTACTACACATGTTGGAAACCATGATAATCTCAGGTCTAAGGATTCAACACCAACACTAAATGAGATCACTGATGACACAACACATATGGCTCTTGCAGTGTCTCATGTTGGGTCTATCCAACAACATGTTCCCCAACATGTGTCCACATTATTAATTTGGTATCTTTATACCATGATCCATGAGACATGATCATCAATTAATACATGTGCTGATCATCTAAACATATTTGTTCCACATATGATATTTGATCAGGGATCATTTAGAAATAGTAACAAACAAAATAAAGAGTCTCATGAAAGAATCACATATTCATTAACCAATAATGAGTTATCTATTTCAAGAAACAAAGTCGGATAAATATGTAAACATAGCATGTGATACAATCATCTCTATGATTGCCTCTAGGGCATATCACTAACAGTAATAACTCAATAACTTTGTTGCTCTTCATTTATAACGTGTCCTGGAAAAATTGAGCTAATTGTTTGTGAGAATATTGATAGGGTAACATAACAACAGATCACACGATATATTTTTTCAACACTGAGATTCAATTCAACCCCTCTACGTCAAAAATGTATTAGGTGCGCACACATACAATGTAATCATGTTAATTAGGGCCAATGCATTTCCAAATCATTATCTAAAGAAGTTCAGTTTTCTTATCCCTGAAGTCAACTAGATGAATATGCACATATATATGGCGTACACAGTATTTAGGGGGGCATGAACAGTGGTGCCCACTCAGCTCTATAAACACACGCATGCCGTATTCCTATGAGCACCTTTAAAAACTAGGCTAATGTATTTTTATATTGACGAAGTCACCATAGACGTCTTGTTGTTACACCAGTGGAGCCACATTAATATCACCAGGGTCCGATGAACCTGATGGAATTCAACCATCCAAATGAATTGCCTGGCATCAACTCATTTCTAGTTAAGTTTTTTAAAGTTTATAAGTCGTTGTGACTTTTTTTTAATTATTTTTTAAAAGTTTATCTAAGTTTATAGAAAAATATAGAACCATTTTTAACAGAAAACAAACGTATTATTAACTGTTAGTTTTAATAAAACAAATTTAGTATTTTAGATATTGCTAAATTTTTCTATAAATTTGACTAAACTTAAAAGAAGTTTGACTTAAAAAAGTCAAAATGACTTATAATATGAAACGGACGACGTATTATCTATCCATTATATATTTAAAGTCCATTAAATGTCATACAAACGCTCTCAAGTTTTTATGTGGCAATCTACGAATGCTCCTACGCCATCATATGGTACTCTAATAAATTAGAAAAAAATATAAAAAGTTTAAAAAATACATCCAACTATTTATTTTTATTTAAATTGGTGACCCTTTATTATCAGCCAATAGATTAGATCTAGTATTAAGTAAACCCTCCCTCCTAAAACCGGCCAATATCCTCTCTAACTACAAGTGCACGCATCGAAGAGATGGTAAAACATAGAATAATATATCTTAACTACATAAAAAAATTGCAACTTTCCGTTCGTCACATCAATTTTTCGTCTGTAACAACAATTTTTCATCCGTAAGTTCGATCGAAATCCAATCGGACAATCCAAATAAAGAGAAAAAGAACAGGAAACATAATAAAAAGCGCACAAATCTTATCTCAGTCCCACAAGAAGCCACCAATGCCGCCGAATCCGCATGTGGGAAGTCACCGTCGCCACCGGATCTGGCTGTGGGATGCCGCCAACACCATTGGATCTGCCCGCGGGAAGCCGCACGACACCACCAGATCCGCCTGTGGAAGCCACGGGAGGACGCCATCACTCGCGATGGGGGAAGGGGGCTGTCACCGCTTCTGCTCGTGCTGAGGGAGGGCGCCGCCACCGTCGTTCGCGGTAGGGGAGGCTTACGCTCGTCGTCGGGATAGAGGATTGGGAGAGAGAAGGTGAGAAAGTTAGGGTTAGGGTTAGGGTTTTCCCACGTCTACATCTTCAGCGGCGCGAAGGAGATCCAAGCCATCCATCATATCGGACTGCTCATGTCGCCTCCAGGTCGGGCCGCATAACTGCTGGGCCGCGCAAGCTTAATGGGCCGAGGGCAGGCCAGTGGGTCCAACATAACACAGTGAGAGGAGTTGAGGGACGCTAATTATACTTTAGTTGTGGGCTGAGAAAGTAAATGGGCTAAAAATGGCTCAGAGAGAA